ATTCCTGCTCTAGGAGAATCTGAAGTATACTTGAGGAATGCCAGAAGACGCATGTCTTCAGAGCACACAATTCGGGCTCTGACGAAGGTGCACTCAAATACAAAGCTAAACTATAAGCTATTTTAGCGTGACCATCTTAAAAACAAGGCTAGTCAAGTAAACCAAATGCTTAAACTCCTTAACCAGCCAGAGACTGCATATTTTACCCAGCAGTGCTACATCTACTTCAGAAGTTATTTTACTTGTCCATGTCACAGAGGGTTGCTGAAGTATCAGAGTTCAGAGGATTTATAACAACTTTTCACTTCTAGTGTAAGGATGGTTTCAGATATACTATCTCACAGTTGACATACAGATTTTCTGTATAAAGTGTATAAAATAACTTTAAATTAATGTCTAGCTGAGATGCAGATATATCTAAGTAATGACAATCAGAATTTTAACCCTGGGAAAGATGCCATCTCTTTGAAGAATGCACTCCCAGCCAAGACTGTCATTGCTGTAGCTTATCTGAAGGCGAGTCACTAAGGCACCTTTGAAAAACATTAACTGGAAATTAATTAGATTAGCCTATCAGCCACCAAAAACTGATTTTTATATTAAGATATAATAGCCCTAAAGCTGGTAATGAAACACCCAGATTTCTGGGTTGGAGATCCAGGAAGTTTGAAATACTGCGTTTTGTAGTTTCTAGGAAGATTTGTCACTTGTACTTCCATTGTTTCTCTATGACCTCAAACTAGGAAATCCAAGCTCAGAGAATCATAGAATAGTTTGGGTTGGAAGGCACCTTTGAAGGTCACCTAGTGTAACTCCCTCTGCATCAAGCAGGGACAAAGTTCTAGCCACTTAGTTGCAATAAGAGACCTAGGTCAAGTTTTTTCAGATCTAACTAAGCCAACTGCACAACTCTTCATCCCTACTTCAGGAGTAGTATGAGTAGAGTTACCAAAAAATCAAGGGGGGGAAAAAAATGTGTTGACGAAAGTCATTACAAGATGAAGAACCACAGGAACTGAAGCTTATATGCATAGTAAAGGCCAAAGTTAAAACTAATGCAACTCTGACTTTATTGATTTAAAAATAAAATGTTAAGGCTGTGATTAGGAAGTCCAGGAAAGAGTTCTCAGCACTGTGCAAGTTTCTAAAGCATTCTCTTGCTATCCCATAAGTCAGAATTTAAGTGTACTCTAACTTTTATGCCAGAAAGCTTATCCTTCAGTGAAAACTGACTGCTTTTCATTCTGAAGAGCAGGAAAGGGGACAAGAGTCTCACTGAAGTTCTAACTGAACAAGAGCTATGTAATCCTATCTTCTAGCACTCTAGTGTTCTACTAAATGGGCTACTGCAGGCCAACTCCATAAAAAACTTCCAGTACAAATTCAGGTCCTTACTCTGATCAAGTATGAAAGCAGCATTGCTTTGTGCAACTTCATAGCCCTGCTCTGCCAACAGAAGATACTGCACCACAGCAGAATTTGAATCGCCATCTTTATAGCTGTTGTAGGCAGTCATCAGTCTTTCAGACCAACGCCCCCGTTCACATACATTCTTAAACAACTGCAGAGGGAAAAAAAAGGAGAAGACTGGTTGTCAGGAATTTCAGAAATTTAGGTTTTGCAGGAAGTAAGCTTTTAACATTCAAATGCCAGTGCAAAATATTTACGTTTCACAGGAAAAACTTGATAAACTCACTGCTTAAGGCAGGCTTACTTTAAGATACAGGTTACTATGTAAATACATGCCAAGACTCAGACACTTCCTCAGAATTATTCCTAAGATCAGCTTACCTGTAAACCCATGCCTAAATGAAGAATTCAGTACTTATAAGATACTTGTGTTTGCTTTGTATTACGTTCTTCTGATTTTCTTCAAAGTTAATACAGCAATTTCAAACTTGCCACATCAACATAAAAAAATCTGGATTTTTCTCATGAGATACCAAGCAGTTTGATAACACATCACTTTTCCTTTTGATAGCCTTGGCTCTGCAATCACTAGTGGATGTCAGTTAAGACAAGTTTCCTATATAAGCTGACATGGTTCTATCCAACCTTTTGCAAGTCAGTATTATTTGACCTTCACAAATGGATGACCTTACCTCAACAGCAGTATTACAGTATCGCATCACTCCAGTGCCAGTGGCATGCATCTGAGCCAGATTATAAAAAGCCAAAATGTGGCCACCCTGGGAGGCCAAGTTAAAATATTTCAAAGCTTTTTTATAGTCCCTCTTGACTCCAATGCCATCTAAAAGAAAGAATACGTCATTGCTAGTCATTATCTTGTGAAAAGCAGGGTTGTATGAAATACAGTGTGTACTTACTCTTAAAAAAATATTAAAGACAGACGTCGTGAAAGTGTCAGGAAAAAAGAAATTAATCCGATGCAGTAAGAGCACGTTACATGCAGTATATCTGTACTACTAACGCCACCTAGTGAACAGTTAGTGAAAGGGCAGATGCTAAGACCCGGCAAATCATAATTTTCATGGCACTTACTGTAATACATAGAACCTAGTTGAAGTTGTCCATCAACCCATCCCTGTTCTGCAGCCTTCTGGAAATACTTCAGTGCTAGCTCATAGTTCTGCAGGAAGAGTTGGTCCAATCATTAGAGCCTTGAAATACACCACAATTTAAGAAAGAAAATATGCGTGCACACCTATGTAAACACATGGACAGATCTGTATTACAGAAAAATTACAGGGAGATGTTCTACTGGGAAAATATTCACCTGTCAAAATTGGGAAACAAAAAGTAAAATAGCCTACAGTGATATTAGCATGTCTTAAGCCTGTAGCTATCTCAAAGCTGGTATCCACATACACCATTGCTACGAACACTTAGGCTTAATAGAATGGAAGCCTCATTCTGTTTCTGGAACAATTATTTAACTTATTTCCTCTACTCGGGGCTAATTCAACTTTTGAATATCTGTTTGCATGGCTAAATATAAAATATTTGACAAAAAACCTTCTTGTGGGAAAAGCAACAAGGCAAATGCACTAATTAGAAGTTTCAAAGTATTCTTCTAGTCTCACAAAAGACATAAAATGGAGATAGAATTTGTTTTATTTCACAAGAAAATTAGAGCCAAGTTCAAAGCTCCTGCTAAAAATTTACACTGCTATGCATTTCTCATAGCTTCAGCAACACTTTCAAAATTATTAGAGGGAACTCAGCACATTTCATAGCTGCCAACTCTAGAGTGATTTTTTCTATATTACAGATTTCTTCATGGAGGGTTCAGTGTAACAGAAATCTTCACAATTAAATCTTCTACACTACTTCCCTCCAGAGAAAAATAATCTGTTGATAACAAGAAGTTACACAATCACCTATGATAAGAAAGATGACTGTCAAAAGCTTACCACTGGAACACCTCTTCCGTAGAGGTAAGCCATTCCTAGTCCACTCTGTCCAACTGGATTGCCCTGCAAACACAGGAAAACACTTCTGCAAAGACAGGCAAAACCTACAGCTACATCTCTCAAATTCGGTATGTCCTTAACATCATGAGAACAAACAGTGCTTAAGATAGATTTGCTTTGTAACTTATCAACAAATTTGCTCCTACTAAGTAATACTTATTTAGGGAGGAAATAGAGTATTTGGTAACTTCTATTCAGTAACTACACAGGTGAGTAACAGGAAAAAGGAAAGTTTTCAACAGTAGTTATGAAAGTCTACTGTGCAGTTTCAAAATGTCCTATGTAGAATCCACACCCATAGAAATGTGGGGCATGAATAGCTTATTTATCTTTAAGTTTTTCCAAGCTTGAGATGTTCTGGGAGCTTCTGTAGCATCAGGAACTCAGAAAATCTGTCTTAATGTAAGGGCAGATCGGTGGCTGTCCTGTGGGCTGCATTACTGACGACTGTCCCTGCACAAGTATATACCATGGTATTCCTTCAGTGCCAGGACAGGCAACAGGGCACATCAGAAACTTTCAGTGAGTGTAGGAAATTATCAACTGGAGAGATCCTTACCCTAGGACAGAGGTGTAGAAGAGCAATCTAATTGTGGAATGCAAGAACCATGAAGACTGTTACCTTACAACGGTCCCTTCAAAACTTCATCTGCAGTGTTCCAGTGCTAAACAAACTTTCCTGGAGGACTAGTCATGCTTTAACTGTATAAATGCTACCATATGGGATAGGTCAAAGGCAGATGCGAGGGATTAACAGCCAAAAACCAAACACACTGCTGCTATGAGAGGTACAAAACCAAAACCATTATCTATTTACTGACCACAAAACAGAACCAATATAATATAACACCAGTACACTGTAAATTTCTGTGAAAAGATGACTTTGGATTAATGAAAATGAATATATATAAAAGTGTTAGTGAACAGTATTTCATACTGATGCCGGCATTCCGAAGAGTCAGACCCCTTGTGCTGAACACAGCTTCAACAAGCATCATGACCAGAATGGGAGGTAGTTCCCGACATCTTAGACAAGCAGGGTTTAATTACAGGTGAATCTGGGATAGAAGTTGGGAGCAGGAATATGCCCATGGAAGTGTAATTTGCAGCATTTATGAGCTAATCAACTTTTTAGTGCCTATGCTGTATTTCTAGCATATACGGTATCATACCATATCAGCAGCTTTCTGGAAATACTGAAGCGCTGTTTCATTGCTCTGAGGTACCACGTCACTTCCTTCTGAGTACATCTGAAGGAGAAAGACATTATTGAAGAACAGCTGAAGAAGCCAGCTTAGCATGGAGATCATGAAGCAAACATCTTCACTTTCAGTATGAGAGGGAGCCTATTGTACCATTAGGCTATTCTAACTATTGCATTACTGAATAATCATTAAAGAACGTGCCCATAAGCAGAAAACCTGTCTCTAAGCTGCAAAATTCAGTTTCAGAGAGTTTAACTTTCTATCGGAAAATGAGCTGCCCATAAAATTAAAATGTTTGCATTAAAACACCTTTTATTTTTGAGTTGTACCAGTGTGAAGAACACAATCAGGCAAAAATCTGGTGAGACCCGTGGAAGTCAAACTATATTGGCAGTTAAAATACTTCTTGAAAACAAAGCAAAAAAAGAACAGATTACTGAACCCTGTTCATTTCAGCATTTAGTAGATACAAAACACTCAAGCAGTAGAGAAAGCAGGAACCTGCAATTTCTCCTTTCAGATGCCTTAACAAGCACATTATGCTTTTTTTCCTTGCTCTTTCTAAGGCCAAGAATTTTGCATCCTCTACTGCAGTGACATCCTGAAAAAGACCAGGTACAGCTGCTGCTTACTGCAGCCTAACGAAGAATATGGTGCAGTAAGGATTTGGCTCCTCACAGGGTGAAGGTAGCCTGATCTCAGCTCAGATCTCAGGCAAGTGACCTACATACCAAAGTAGTAACACATTAACATCACCACCAGCAGCTTCTCAATCATGTTTTAGATTAAAAAAAGGACTTAAACCCAAGAAAACCAATACAACGGCTCACCTCGCAGACAGACTCAGGCCTTAGTTCAGAGTAGATGCAGATCTATTTGCAACTCTGACTCAGAAACCTCAGCTCTCTACACCAAAGAATACAGATGCCTTTTCCTTCCTGAACTTAGTATTTCCCACTAGACAAAATTTTAAGAAGCCCAGCTTTTCCCCACAGTGTATGGAAGAGCACAGTGGCTTTCTCTGAGTTTTGAACTCCAGCACTGAAAATGGACATACGTGTATTTAACTATTTAATTTTTTTTATAAATCTAGTTCAAGCACTAATTAGAAAAAAACATTCCTAAAGTTAAGGAGCAAGCAGAAAATTTAGACTAGACTACAACACACTAACTGCAACTGCAGGACAACTCAAAACAGTAGCAAATAGAAGTACTTAGATCCCACCATTCAGGATTTAGACTGCCTGATATCAGAAAGCAGGAAGTATTTGCCATTTCTCATAGAAAAGCACTTTGCTTACTTTTGAAGGTGTTCATAGTCTCTTACCTTTCCTAGAAACGCCATGGCATGTGAATTGCCAGCATTAGCTGCTTGATTGAAGTACTCAAACGCTCGCTGTAGGGAAGGAAACAAGTATTTACCTACCACGACTATGACTTTAGTACCTTTTCTTGCAGATGGAGTAGAGGCAAGCAGGTTGTTTGCCAAGTTACCAGGTTCTTGTGGGGATAAGAATTATCAATCCCATTTAATTTAATATTTAACAGGGTTCCCCACTTATATTCTGAATATTCACAGAATCATAGAATGGTTTGGGTTGGAAGGGACCTTTAAAGGTCACCTAATTCCAACCCCACTACAATGAACAGGGACATCTTCAAGCAGATCAGGCTGCTCAGAGCCCTGTCCAACCTGACCTTGAGAGTTTCCAGGAATGGGGCATCTGTCATCTCTCTGGGTGACCTGTTCCAGTATTTCAACACCCTTGTTGTAAAAAATGTCTTTCTTCTATGTAGTCTGAATCTACCCTACTTTAGTTTAAAATCATTACCCCTTGTCCTACCACAACAGGCGCTACCAAAAAGTTTGTCTCATCTTTCTTATATAAGCCCCTTCAGGTACTGGAAGGCTGCAATAAGGTCTCCCTGGAGCCTTCTCTTCTCCAGGCTGAACAAGCCCAACTCTCTCAGTCTTTCTCTACAGGAGAGGTGCTCCAGCCCTCTAATGGGTTTTTGTGGCCCTTGTCACCCACCACAACAGGTCCATGTCTTTCCTGTACTGAGGGCCCCCAGAGCTGGATACAAGACTTCAGGGGGGTTCTCACGAGAGCAGAGGGGCAGAATCACCTCCCACAACCTGCTGGCCATGCTTCTTTAGATGCAGCCCAGGATACGGTTGGCTTTCTGGTCTGTGAGCATTCAATGTCAGCTCATGTTGAGCTTCTCATCAACTAACACCTCTGAGTCCTTCTTGGCAGGGCTGCTCTCAATCACTTCAGCCACCAGCCTGTATTGGTACCAGGGGTTACCCTGACTCATGTGCAGGACCTTACACTTGGTCTTGTTGGACCTCATGAGGTTCACTCAGGCCCACTTCTGAAACTTGTCCAGGTCTCTCTAGATGGCATCCCATCCCTCAGGCATATCAACTGCACCTCTCGGCTTGATGTCATCTGCAGTCTTGCTGAAGGTGCATCTATCCCACTGTCTATGTCATTGATGAAGCTATTAAACAGTACTGGTCCCAGCACAGACCTCTGAGGGACACCACTTGTCACCAATTACCTGAACATCGACCCCTTCACCACTACTCACTGAATGTGACCATGCAAACAACTCCTCATCCACCAAACAGTCCACCCATCAAATCCATCTCTCTCCAATTTGGAGAGAAGGATCTTGTTAGAGCCTGTGTCAAATGCCATGCAGAAGTCCAGATAGATGACATCCACAGCTCTTCCCTTGTTCACTGATGTAGTCACTCCCTCACAGAAGGCCACTAGGTTGGTCAAGCAAAACTTGCCCTTGGTGAAGCCATGCTGGCTGTCTCCAGTCACCTCCTTGTCCTCCACATACCTTAGCATAGTTTCTAGGAGGATCTGTTCCATGATCTTCCCAGGCACAGAGGTAAGGCTGACAGATCAGTAGATTCCACGGTCCTCCTTTCTACCCTTTTCAAAAATGGGTGCCATGTTTCCCTTTTTCCAGTCACCAGGGACTTCACCTGACTGCCATGACTTCTCAAATATCTTGGAGGCTTGGCAACTACATCAGCCAATTCCCTCAGGACTCTAGAATACATCTTCTCAGGAACCACACTTATGTAGGTTCAGGTTTCTCAGGTGGTCACAAACCTGATCTTCTCTTATAGTGGGAGGAAGAGAGACTGCCAGTGAAGACTGAGGCAAAGAAGTCGAGTACCTCAGCCTTTTCCTTGTCCGCCATTACTAGTTTGCTGGTCTTGCTCATTGGTGGGGTTTGTATGGGGTAAGAAGCCCTTTGTATAATTCTCTGCATCCCTGGCCAAGTTCAGCTCCAGCTGCACATTGGCCTTCCTGATCCCATCCCTACACAACCGGGCAGCATCCCTATACTCTTCCTAAAATACCTGTCTGTGCTTCCACTGCCCTTTAGTTTGACCAGCAGGTCTCAACTCATCCATGCTGGTCCCTTGCCTTATCAGGACCTTGCTGGTCCTGATTTCTTACAGCTTACCCTTCTGAACAGCTTGCAGCCATCGGCAGGCGCCACCCCCCCCACCGCCGCACCCCAGTCACAGGATTCATCCCACCAATTTTCAGCAATGGCAAATAGGCTGTAGCTGTCTAGCAGCACGGTGGCTTCCAACTCCTCTGATCTGTTGCCCATGCTGCATGCACTGGTGTAGAGGCACTTCAGCTGGGCTGTCAATGAGCTCCGCTAGCTTCTGAGCAAAGAACCTCTTCCCCTTTGAGAAAGGTGAATCCCATCTGAGGCCAGCAAGCCTGGTGCTGTGTAGGCCACCCCATTATCAAAAAACCTAAGACTGTGGCAGTGACACCAGCCACAGAGTCATGTATTAACAGTCTGGTCCCATCTGTTTCTTCCAATGTCACTGCTCAGAATTGGAAGGAGGGAGGAAAAAAACAACCTGTGCTCCAGAATCCCTTACCAACTGTCCCAAGGCCCTGAAGTATCTTTTGACTGCCTTTTGACCTTCACATTGCAGGTTCATCATCACCCACGTGAAAGCAGTAATAGGTGGTCTGAGGGCCATACCAGGCTAGGAAGTTTCCTAGTGACATCCTTAACCTGGGCCCTAGAATTCCCTAAGAGGAGGGTCTGTCTGGCATATTGGAACCTCTGTTCCCCCCTGTTCAGAAGGGAGTTGACTACAACTATAACCCGTCTTTTCTTCCTTGTGGAGATGATAGTGATACACAGGATTGGCCTTTCTGACCTTGGCAACACTTCTGGTGTAGACAGACAGCCATCCACATCATCCATTGACTAGCCTTCCACATCCAGAGCGTCATGGCTGTTGTACAGAGTCACCTTGCAAGGCGAGGTGGGCAAGAAGGGGGTTTGCCTGCTGCCCTGAGCATGGACTTGCCTGCTTTCACTCTTTTCCTTGAAGCTACTGCCCTCAGCCAGGCAGGGAAAGGATACATGATCCCCTTAATCTTTTGTTTTGGTTTGGTTGTTGTTGGTTTTGTGGTTTTGTTGTTTTTTTTTTTTCTCCCCTGGTGGCTGTTTCTGTCTCGGGGAAGACAGAATATAGCTCCACTGGTCTGTCTTTCTCTCCCTGATCCTCCTTAACGTTTCTACTTTGTCTTGTAGCACTGCCACCAGGCTGAGCAGATCGTCCACTTGGTCACACATCACAGAGCTGTGCACTGCTGCCACTTGCTACCAGTGTAAGGCTCTGGCACATCCTGCAGCCTGAGACCTGAGAAGCTGTGTTTTTTCGTGTGAGCTCTCTCTGGATTGCCACATCCATTCTGGCAAGTGCAGAGGACGTGGCTTTCAGCCAGGTGGTATCATAGCTAAGCTCCTGCAGAGAAGGTGATGACCAGAAAACTGAACTCATCTCTTGAGCTGGTAGGGTGACTACGCCCCTCCGTGCAAACGGCCACAAAAACAGCTGCCCCACGCCCTGGCTGCCAAGCCACACTCTTTGCCCACTCTGGCAGCTCACGCTCCCTAGGCCAGTTTTTTTTATAGGCATGGGTGTGGCTGCCCTTTCTCTAGCAGTGCCCAGGTCCCGTCAGCATCTCCCACGAGAGCTGCTGGCTCCTGGTGAGTCCCTCCACTGCCCTGGCTTTTCCCTGCCTCAGGAAACTCTCCTGTGCACTGAGATCTGCTGATCAGGCCAGCTTTGGAGCAGCTTCCCTCACTGACTGAATAGTGAGCAGCAATGCCTCTCAACAGTGTATTCCAACAAGCAGAGGAAAAAACCCAAACACCTAAAACTGCTACTAAGCACAAGCTACACAGGTAAATCTTACGTCCTTATCGTAACTCCAAACCCTGTTTTGAAGAGATCTGCCAGTTCCTATTCCAGTTTTACACAGAGCTTGAGAGTACTCATTCTGACCACTTAATATAATCTCTGAACACTTACAGAGCAGCCATTTTAAGGTATTTTAAATGTGATGACCATTAAATAATTTCTGGTTCATAGCTGAGTCTGAAATAATCCTCAGAACTGCACATCCTCAGCTCTCCATTTTTTTCAATACATTAAGAAGAGAGTAGCTATTGTTAACTTCTATACACAGTGGCTAGGTTGGCTTACATCAGAAGTTCTATTTTCTATGCACACTGAATATCCTCAGTATTGAAAGTTGCACTGTTTTGTCTACGGAAGCAAAATATTCCTGCAAGCCACATAAACCAGACTATCATCATTAAGGCACGCACAGTGCGTCATGAAGATTCTCCTGCGTGTATAAAAGCTCAGCCAGTTTCAAGTACTACTTGGTTTCGACTTCCTCATTTCTAAGATGATTTGTCTTAAACTGTGTAAGAAAATCAGCTCCATGTACTAGACACATAAAGATTAAGTTCTGTAACAAGACTACTGATGTTATTTAATACCTTTTGGGGGTACTTATACACTTTTGCTTCACTGTGGTCTCAGCTGTACTTTCTACCTTGCCACCAAGTGTAATATGCAGAGATACACAGAAAGGGTACCTGATGATTTTGTTCTACTCCTCTTCCTCCATGCAAGTGCAACTGTCCAAGGCCAACCTAAAAATAAATTTTATATTGCAAGTAAGACACTTTACCCAAAGGACTTACTTTTTCTTTAATAGAGACAACAGTGAGCTAATTACATGCACATAGACAGAACAGGTCAGAATTAAAGATGCCACAATGTCTGAAGGCAGATTTGCTTCAATAACTACAGTATAGTCCTACTTTTTCATATTATCCTAAGTGGAAATTTATCCTAGATAAAAGTGACATGACTTCTCCCCCTGTACTCGGCACTGGTGAGGCCGCACCTCGAGTACTGTGTTCAGTTTTGGGCCCCTCACTACAAGAAAGACATTGAGGTCCTGGAGCGTGTCCAGAGAAGGGCCACAAAACTGGTGAAGGGTCTGGAGAATATGTCTTACGAGGAGCGACTGAGGGAACTGGGCTTGTTTAGCCTTGAGAAGAGGAGGCTGAGAGGAGACCTGATCACTGCCTACAACTACCTGCAAGGAGGTTGTGCTGAAGTGGGTGTTGGTCTCTTCTCCCTAATGACAGATGATCGGACGAGGGGGGATGGTCTCAAGCTGCGCCAGGGGAGGTTTAGATTGGACGTAAGGAAGAAGTTCTTCACCGCAAGGGTTATCACACACTGGAACAGGCTGCCCAGGGAGGTGGTGGAGTCACCATCCCTGGATGTGTTTAAGAGACGGGTGGATGAGGTGTTGAAAGATATGGTTTAGTGGTGGACAGATACGGTTGGACTGGATGATCTCTAAGGTCTTTTCCAACCTAGTGATTCTATGATTCTATGACTGTCCTAGATACAAAATAGTAACTGTTCATTTGAATTCTGCTACCTAATTCTTAAGTCATATATGACCAAGTTGAATCGTGACAATTTGCCTATATTAACATTTTCCCTCCTGCATTGTGTGTAAAGAGCTGAAGCCTGCGGCATGCAGATGTCATGTACAGCAGCAGCAGTGAGAAATTGAGGTCTCCTGTCAGGGACAGTTCTTTTGATCAAGGCTTCCTCCACAACATCTAAAGCTATCCTTAAACTAGTCTTGCTGGTTTCTAGTGCAAGCCAAGATCCTCTTTCCTAAGATACTAAGATTGTAATGTTTTGGACTTTTTTTCCCCACAAATATTTGCATTTTTTGTCCAAGTTCTACCTTAAACACAGTAAAATACAAGTCTCTTCAAAAGCTAATCAGGAAATAGCAACCAGATTCATTCAGGAGAAAGAGAAAACTAAAGCCCCAGCATCTTTCCATATTTCATCAAGCTGTTCCTGTATGTCTTGAAAACCTCTACATGCCAAAAGGTGAACTTAATCTTACCTGTGCTTGTACATCTCCTTTCTCTGCTAAAAACTGATAATACTGAATCAAGTCTTTTTCTAGCATCCCACTTGCCATTCCTGGGTTTTCTACTTCATCTGCTAAGCGAATTCGCTGAACCACTGTGCCACCAGTCAAAGAAATGTCGCTAGCAACTGAAAAACAGATAAAATAGATATTCACAGTTTTGTTCAATACAAAAAATTACACTGTAACTTAGTAAAACCAGGTCTCTACAGAGCTTCAAACTGTCACTCAGAGAATTAATTACTTAGACCCTCTCTAAGTATTAAAGAAATTTCAATAGAGAGATAAAAATAGCCTGTAATGATTCAGAACCAAATAACTTAATAGCAGAAATTCTCTATACTATTAGCATTGATAGTAGTATTCCTATCTTCTAGGTGTATGATACAGGAATACACAGTCAAAAACATTAGCCTAATAAAAAATTTTTACCGTGATTAGCTACAAGTCTGTAATGAGTGAGAGCAGATTCACAACTTCGTAGGACTCCTATCCCAGCCCAGTACCGGTAACCCTAGAAAGGAAAATACAGAAATACGGGACTATCGGTTATTTGACAACATACTGCTAGTCAGGTTACAAACTTTTCACATTATTTGAGCAAGATTTGACAAGAAAATAAGCAAAACAAAGGCCACAAGTCCATTGTGTCTGCGTTAAAAGCAACTGCCTGACACTGTTAAAGGTTAAGCATACCCAATATACTTCAGATATTACTCAGGAAAAAGCAAATGAGCAGAATGATACTTATGGGAGAAAACCTAAAGCTTTTTACTTACACATGTTGCACTCTGTTTGTCTTAAATCTCACAATACTCATTAAACCAGTATCTTCTGTAAAGATCTCTGGCTTTCACAGTTCTCATTAGCCTATAAAAATTAAAGTCTGACACTTCTGCTCTATGCCAAGAGATGCAAACAAGGTCCATTTAAATTCATAGTGGTACACAGCTTAAATGAGCATGCTTTTCCTTAGGTTAACAAGGAATATCAGGGAAGATACTACTGTCCACCCAATGCATGCATGATGATCTAATATGTGGACAGTGTATTCACATGAACGCAAAGCTTAAATTTTTAATGTAAGAGTACAAAAAAGTTTTTGCATTTGTAAAGTTATTAACTATCTTACTTACCAATATCATATGGCCAATCAGATTTCCTCCTAAAGCTCCAAAAGTGTTATACACCAGGGCCTTAAAACAAAAGCATTTGTTATTTAACATCTGTCTCCAAGACGATATAGAAGAGCACACACTGAAGGTTTCTAAGTTACCTTAGCTTGACTAGAGTTGACTCCTAGGCCAGACGCATATAAAAATCCAAGAGCCTAGAAACAAAATAAAGTTTGTCAGCACATCCCTTGAACAATCCAGGGTCAGTGTTCCTGGAACACTTCAGTATAAACAAGTTAAATAAGAATTCAAAGCTGCAAAGAATACCAAGCTCTACCTTCACTTTGCTACCTCCTATGTCTAGGCCATGCCCTGCCCCTTTTAAAACAAGAAGTTTCTCAACCATTTGGCTGCCCAGGACAGTAACAAATACATCTCGCTAGAATTCAGTCTAATGGATTGAACAAGGAAGAAACTACTTCCCTGAATGTCAAATGTAGATCCAAAGGGCCTGAACAGTGAAAGTGTCCCAGTTTAAAGACCCTCAAGTGAAGATCAGCAATGTCGGTCAGGTTATTCATGTATCCTATTTGTCTCATACACCTGTGCAAACATACGTGAACCTTCTCTAGAAGGGTGTTACTGTTTGGTTTACTAGCACCCTACAGATTTACTATTTTGCATCTGTTCTGCCATGGGTTAGTTGCATTTATGACTACAAATATAAACAGTTTATATACACACAGAGCTGTTTGGCTGAGGTTTTTTTTCAAAAGTTATTTTTATTCTTAAAATTTACATAGTTACTGCTCTAACACCTGTTACAGCTGTGTGGCTCAGAGTACAGTACCACAGAAGATAACACTATATATAAACTGAAGGTGTCTATTTCAGTGCTCTAAGACTATTCTATGCAATTCTGAAAGCACACCTCATGCAGGCAGTATTGAATTCTAGACCAAGAAAACTCAAGGTCTTTACTGAGATATAAAGTCTCTAGAGAGTACACGTTCCTGTTTCCTATGTTAAATCAGCACTCCAACGTTAAACAGGGAACAGCAGGAGGCTTGGTAGCCAAAGAGCTAAAGGCAACTGGACAATTCCTAAAGAGGCTGACACTTCCAAAACATAACAGAGAACTAAACAGTAAGTATATGGAGATACTGAGACATTGAAATAGCTAACACCCACATTTTATGGCATTACATGTAAACAATTACATATGAACAATTCTATAATGTTCAAAGGCTCATGAATAAAGCAAGTCCCATTCCACTAAACAGCTCACAAGGCTCCTAGGAGTTTATAAACTCCTAGATTATAAACTTTTGTCTGTGTATATCTAGCCATCTCAAGGATAAAACTGCAGATGGAAAGCCACAACATCCCACAAGAAAAAACATCCCACACAAACCACAAGAAAAAAAATAACAGTTTCAGAAAAGATTTTTTGGGTGGAGTCACCTGTGTCTACCCATTTTTTGCCTTATACATCCAGTCTAGTCAGTCATACAACAGGTAAGAAATTAAAAGACCACCACCGTACTATATTACATGTATTATGTATAAAACAGCTGATGTATGTATATATACACACACACACAAATATGTATTTTTATATAAAAAAATCTGGTAGTATAATGCAGGTCTTTTTAAACTTCGTCTGTTGTCTTTGAACCAGGCAACAGATACCACTTACTGCACTCACTCTATTCTGGAGGCACAAACAACCTATAAAACTACCTTAGAACAAGTACAATCTATAAACGAATTTATAAACCTATGGAAACCTCAGGAGAATCTGAGGACATACATACCGTTTGTCCTGTAGGAGAACCTTCTTCTGCCAGTTTTTCAAATAGTTCTTTTGATGACTGGATGTTCTGTTTCAGGTAATCTCCAAACAACAAAGCGTAAGACACTTTCTCCATTGCCTTGGTATGATTCATGTCAGCTGCTTTCAGAAGATATCGATATGCTCTTAAAAGAAAACAATTTCTTAGTCACCTTGAGGCAAAGCAGCAGATTCTATACATAAACCTGAAGATTCTGGGGAGGTGTTTTGTTCCTCTATTTCAGCCTCTATTTTCTACAAACGCATCTAACTATATTTATTTATTCCAGCTCCGAATAGTCAATCTATGCAACAACTCATATGATTTAGCTAGTGGACACACTGGATTTCAGTGTTCATTCTACTCCATATGTAAAGCAGTACGCATTTCTTCACCTCTAAGTTATACAAAAAGTTTAAGGTCAAATGATCATGTTTTTGTAGCAATCATTTTAAGCTCTGTACTAGGTATCTAGTAGGACCACTACTCTGACAGCTTCATGATAGAAAACACAAGCCTGAAAGAGACTATGGAGTATCTTTGATGTCTCCAATGAAAAGACTAAGTGTTGGGGCATGCATACACGTGAATTTTGTAATGAAACAGTCATGGTAACAATGAGAAATTTCTCTGGAAACCCTCCTTTCTATTTCAGCCTCAGAACTTAGAGTAGTCCTCCAAAGTAATTTCACAGCAGATGGTTTCACAGTAATTTAAAAAACTCCAACCTTAAACATTATAACACAACACTGTCAAGCATGCTTCAGTTTGATTTCTCATAGACCTCTGATAGCATTCCAAGATTTTTCTTTACCTCCCTTCCTTTCTATTCTCAACTTGTTTTCTTTCTTTAGGACAGGCAGTGGCACACTGGCTCCTCACAGAATTTCATCTTTGAAGAAAGTGTAAGGTGTTCGAGAGAACTAAAATCTAACATTGTTTTATAATTCCTACAGTATTTTACACAAAAAAACCCTAGCCAGAGTCTAAGAGATACTGTCTCCCTTTGTCTTTGCCAAAATGTGGTGGATAACCTCTAGCTATGCTTCAGTCTCCCAGACACTTTAAGTAGAAATACACCCCCTTATCTCCACAAGTAAGTTTAACGTAGTAATAGCGCTCACGTAATAATCAGCAGCCGGATGTCACCACTTACTGATGAAGCTGTCAACACAAGTACTAGGGATTTCTAAATTAACATGGCTATTCTTAGTGACAGTGGTAAGCTGACAACTATTTCATCAGTAATTGGATATATTCAGAGTAGAAACAGACAGAATGAACAGAACACTCTGTTAATTCTATTTTTTTTTTTGTTTCATCTACAAGCAAAACCTTATTCTCTCAAACAGTATCAATTATCAGCGTTTTAACAATTTGTTGAGATTAATACTATCTTTATAGCGACAGAAAACATCAGAAAGCAGGAACAAAACCAGAGCAGAGCAAGAACTGCTGATTCTTCCCACTTAAACTTTGAAGCAGAATGAGAACCAGACTGTAAGAAACATTTCAAAAAGGACAATTATCTTGTTTCACATTCTCAGTTTTTTTCTGGGCAGCTGCCACGTATAAAGTGTAGCTAGTGCAGCACCATCTTGCATTAAGTCAATGTTTTGAAGACAACCACTCCTCAGAAATTAATCTTCTAAAACTTTTAGTAGATTCAGAGGAAAGCAGGCACAAATTTGTTTTCATAAATACCCTGAAGTCACTATTAATTTTCGGTACTATCACTGCATAGTTCGAAGTCCAAAAAAGCGCAAAGTCCTGAGGCAACTCATTTAAATTATTTTTCAGTTAAGCCAGAGTGATCAGTCATGTCATCATTCTCCTGTGGAGGTGGAGGAGGTAGACTTACTCCTTCTTTTGAGCCTTTTTACCGCTTTCATTAAGGATTTTCATTCCAGTCTGATAAACATCCTCAGCTTCTTGCATCTGCCTTCTCTTATTAGACTGCTCTTCAGCTAAAAAAGGAAAAAAGTACATTAAAAGCTCCAATTACACAGCTCAAGACTATACTCTCAAAATTCTTATTGGTTCTAAAGGGAAAATACAGCTAAACATATATTTCTGAAGACCAATAAACAACCCAAGTGATTACAAAAAGCTACCTAAAGGAGGTATTGGATATCTTGGTAGACAGTTTCTTTTCATGTGATGTCTCTCATATATTAGTTTGCTGTTAAAATAATTGTCTTCATTACTCCAAAGCAAGTCGTGCAAGGAAGAAAGGTTCTTCCCCTTCAGGAGTATGTTTCCTAGAGAAGGCTTGCCTTTGTGCAACAAATCGGTGGGTATGATGGGAAACTGTTAAACCCCTATAATCCTACAGCCTCAGAAAGTAAGAGCTTTATAGATGCTTCCACTGAAAGATTTCCTGAACAGCTTTAGAAGTGGCATTTGCATTATAATCTTTACCATTGTGAGAACTTTACCTTTATAATTACTTGTATATCACAGTATAAAGTGGTGATTAATACATGGCAGGGATGACTAGACCCTGAAATAAAGGGCATTAAGAGACCTGAAAACAGATTAAGAAAGCATTCTTTGGACAAGAACAAGACATCAGGTTACTTACTTTCACAGAAGCCCCATTTCTGATCTTTCCTGTAATCATAGGTTGTTGCACACCAAAGCCTGCCATCTTCTCTCCCATCTGCCGTACACTCTGTGTACTCCTTCTCCATAAACAAAAAGGGGATGTGGCAAGGTTCACCGTCTGCAGTACCACCAATAGCTGTTAAAACTGAAAATACATACCCAGGAATTAGACTGCTTTCCTTTATTCCACAAATTAATCTACTACATACAGGACAGCACTCTTATGTTGGTTTTAATTTCTATGAACTACACATTTAATCAAGTTTTCAGCATCATTTCTAATTTGTAAAAGCCTGAAAAAGCAATTACTTTTCTAAGTAGCACTTGAAAAAAATATTATTCTTATTTTTAATTAGGAAATGAAACTGAAGGTAGGTAGTATCTTACATTCCTTAGTTCTACGCAAAGAAAATATTTTTGTTTAGATTGGAGACAGCAAGTCTCAGTTACCCTCTTAATGCCTACCAAAATAAACAATCCTTCCTTTCACTTTCCCTTCTCTGCACTCCCTTCCTCATGCAAAAAACTATGCTCAAAGTGCATTCCAGTGCATATATTCGTTTTAGCCCCAGAGTTAGATGTAATCATGATAGACGCACTCACATCCCACAAATGTGATACTGA